TAAAGAAGGCTTTGAGACTATCAGTAAATATTGAATAAGTGTTTTAGACACTCTTGGTCTCATAAGGTGATAAAAGATTAGCAGTTGAATTCGGCCATAATCATATGAATAATACCCCGTTTCCGTTGAATTTTCCTCGGTCCTGCTTTCCAAAAGGCATTCTTATCTTGAGGCCTACTCATATCGTTGTGAAAAATTCAAATATCAGCCCTGCATCATCAGGAAGTCTTCTTCAAAAGTTACTAATAGCCTCAAAAACATGCTTTATCTGAATGCAAGGAGTGCAGTTACATTTTAATAACAAAATACAACTTTTCGTTTGTAAGTAGGGATTTGAGAATACCCGTAAATCAGACATATGAGATATGTTCACTTTATTTTGTTTAAGGTGATGGATTACTGGTAGTTTCCATGCAATTTCGTAAAACCTTGCTTCCAAAAAGGTATTCTTATCCATGCAGGAGTGGAGTGCAGTTTCGAGCTCGCCTAGGTCTTATCCATACATCACAGCGGGACTCAAACCATGACAGTACAGCTCATAATCTCGAATATCAAACAGTACTACACATTGCTACGAGTGCCCTTTGATCACAGAACATAGATGAATTTCAATGAAGGCCAGGCATTTTCTTATATTAAATTCTGCAGATGGTTTGTCAGTTGAACAAAGTTGTCTCGAAATCCTGTTTTCAAATAAAGAATAAGTAATGTAGTCACTTGCCATAGCAAATAAAACTTTGCTTTACCGAATGTGGTATAGTAAAAATCTAAAATTCAAATCTACCTTGTGACCCAAGCGCACTCGTGACAGTGTGACGTAGTGATTAACGTGTTGAGATTATACACTGCCCTACCAAGGTTCGAGTCCTCTTAGGTGTGTTGATGAGACCTAGGCGAGGTCGAAACTGTACTCAACTCTGGATGAGAATACTATTTGGGAAGTATCTGAAATTAAATGGAAACGTAAGGACTACTCATATCATTATGGGCAAATTCAACTTCCACTTACTCATCACCTTAAGCTAAATGTGATGAACACTTCTCAAAATACATGTTTGTCTAAATGATAAGCACATATTACAAATATGATATGAGAGAGGCCTGGCCTTCCTTAAAATTTGCGTCTGTCATTTAGCACAGGGGCACTTGCGTGTGGCGTCATTGTAGCATTTTGAGATTATGATCTGCACCGCTTGGGCTCGAATCCTGTTGGGAGTGCTCCTGAGATCTAAACCTGGGTGATAACATCTTTGTGAAAGCAAGGCTAAATGAAGTTAATTGGTAGTGTGAGGCCTAATTTTATTATTGTAAAATAGTTCAAATATCAGTGCTTCATCACCTTAAGCGTCTTAGGATGATTGAAACTCTTAGTTTTGCAGTCTATTTGACAAAATTCAAATCAAATCCTGGCACAACGGACCCCGTATTACAGAAATTTCCAGAATAGTGAACAATTCTAATGTTTATTGTGATAACTCGTTTTTTTATACAATATAACGAAAGTTCATTGTAATGAAATAACTTGTAAAGTGACAAAAGTTTTGTTATGCCCAGATTTGACATGTGAGAGTAAACTTTGTAAGCGCAATCAAAAGCATGGACACCTACCTTCGCCACAGCGATGCCCAGAGAAGCTGGTCAGCTCGCAGTCACACACCAACTCAGTCCACAGCTGCATACAGACTCCGTCGTTCAGACAGAACTGCTGTTGCTGTTGCCGCTGCACCAGCTTTGACTGCTTAATGATTACTTGAGTATCCGAGACGGTGCCATTGACGCTACTGCCACCTTCTCCAGACGATGTCAGAAAGTCTACACTTCTGGGAGAGAAGCTGGTGGCCAGTCTCACAAGAGGAGGACACGTTGGCGCAGAGACTGGTCTTGCCCGACATCCAGGAACTATGTCCTCTTCTGGGTCTCGGTCGAGACTGACTCCGGCCAGCATGTTGCTCGAATCTGTGGCAGGAGAAGCTGCAAAATGAGGGGAATTTACAGATGATCCTGGCGGCAGCGGTGTGGATTCAGGTGACAAGGAGGAGGATGACAATGCCGGAGGTAGAGCTGATTCTAGGCAGGATGAACGGATACGGGCTGCAATTCTGCCGCCGATTCTGGGTGTATCATCGCTAGAAGTGGTTTTTGTGGGGAAAATAGACGGCAAGGCGACAAATACGTCTTTTGTCGCGCTTAGATTTTGGGTACTCGGCTCGCCTGGTGGGATGCGTGTGAGTCTGCTGCGTAATAGCTCAACCAGGTTGAAGGTGACCTCATTTATCGTCAGTCCAGAAAGACAGCCCTAAATGAGTAATACAGCAAGAGGTGATAAACTGATCACAACTGACAGTCCTGAAAATTGAATTTATTTGAAAATAAGTGGCGTGGTAGAGTGTAATTACAAAATAAAAGTTTGACCCCCTGCAAATATGGTAGAAAAGAGGCTGGTTTTCGTAAAAATAACCGTCTGTCTTGTGATTCAGGGGTACTCGTGGCAGTGTGACGGGATGGAAAAATGCTGAGATTATACGCTACAATATCTGGTTCAGAATCCCACTGAGGATACCAATACATCTCAGGCTAAGTCAAAACTGTAGTCGAGCTCGGATGCAAATATCCCTTATGAAGCAAGACTGAATAAACTGTAATTAATTCGAGAAACCTACTCAAATCGTTGTGCTAAAAATTCAACGAACACTCCTTCATCACCTCATGTGACCTAGGATGACTAGAACTTTTATTTAATATTTACCAAAAGTCTCAAAAATCAACTTTCTCTGAATGCAAATACAAACTTCCTATAGCAACTTCTGATTTGCGATAAGCCTAGCTTTATTTGTAAGCTAAATCTCCACTGACTCACTGATACCAATGACTTTACGTGCACAATCCGGGTTTGACTCCCGCCTGGAGTGCTGACGAGACTCAGGCCAGGTAGAATCTGCATTCCACCCTGGATAAAAATTCGTTTTGCGAAACGTGAGAAACATGTATTTGCCAGAAAATTCGATCACAGAACTTGCTTGCGTTGTGATTATATATCGTAAATACAAGTAATACTTAAAGAAAAATGTTATCCCTTTATTTATTTTCCAAGTATTATCGCTAACCTCGGAGATTTGAAACATCATCGATTGTAATGACAAATACCCTCTTGCCTGAAAGTTACAGTTCTCCTGTAACTCATCAGTATTTATGACTGTCTAGCGTAGCTGTAACGCATTGCCACTTTTCCCTCACGGTATGGTCTAAAATCCACTTAGGAGCGCTGCTGAGATTCAGGCGAGATCTACACTACAGTCCAACCTGGATAAAAACCAATTTTGAAGACGCATCAATGTGGATTTCAGTAGCATCATGAGGCTCATAAAATTGTGGAAAAAAACCTTTATAGAGGTTGTTTGACCTTGTTTTTGCAACATGGTCATATTGGTAGGAAGACTTATTGGAACCCCCCTAGTCCGGGGTCCATTGTCTTCATGATCCTTTACAAAGTTGAACCGTGGGCGTGGTACATTCCCAAACGTTTTCCTGGCATCATAGTCGGCATCGTCAGTGAGTATCGCCATCCTAAGCACCATACAGCAACTCGTCA